ACTTAAACAACTCTCAAAATAAAGTGCTCTGTGACTGGAAAGAGGAAGAAATAGTAAACTTAAGATGAGCTGCTGTATGGAACAAAACAGATGTCATTTCCCACTATGTTTATAAATGGTTATTTTTTCCCCCTAACCTTGTTAAATGTGTCATCTTTCACATAAAATTCTTCCTTTGTTTCAATTAATTCAGTTAGAATAATAAGAAACAGTAGAGTTGTTACCATTCAAATGAAATTAGTTAAACTCTATCTTTGCACTGCTGAGGAAACAGAAGCTGCATCTGAAGTGGCATTAGATGCATTTACAGACAGTTTGATGAAGCCGAGGTGCCATAAATGCATTTACACTGCAAAATTTCAAATTCATAACTAATTTTATAAGATTCATGTTTTACATACTTTTTTAAGCATACAAATAAATGTTGAAAAAATGCAATGATACTTTTAAATATGACTAAACCACCAGTAGGTGGCGGCAAATGTCTGTTTTAATGAGTGAGTCATTTATTCATTCATTCAACAGATTCATTCAAACGGCTGATTCATTCAGAAACGAGGCAAGTGACTGGCCTTATGAATGAGCCACTGAATCATTGACTCACTCGATTCATTCAGTAACAAAACACCGCTGTTTGTTACTCGGAGACGAAACCGTTCTGTTGTGGCTTTGATCTGAACTATTTTCGTCAGCGAAATTGAGCAAAAACAGTCAATATTTTTGTCTAAAATCGAAGTCACTTAATTTTAACTTCTTTTTTATTGAAATACTATTGTATAAAATCAGTGTCACATTGCAATAATGTTGATATTGATATTCAGGGAAACATCATGGCCGTATAATGTTGCTTACCTAAATCATATTTTGTAAATATCTTTTTTTTTCTACCGCAGTATGCATCTATACATTTCTGTGAGTTACTTGTGTGTGCTGTCTCTCTCACACACTCTCTAATATATATATATATATAAATAACAATATTCAAAATTAAACTAAATGAAAATTACAAATGTTCTCTTGGCAATGAACTGTTGAAGCATTAAAATGACTAAATGGAAATAAAAAATAAAACTGAGCAAAATATGAATTACACCTAAAAAGTAATATTAAAATTGAAAAGCGAAAATATTCAAATAAAAGCTATTTAAAATATTATTAAAAACTACAATAGTATATAATACTATAATAACACTCATACGCACAATTTGGCCAAAATTTTGTGATTATATCTTAGTTTGTGATTGTCAGTATGACTGTATATTATTATTATTATTATTATTCAATAAAAATATGAAAAAATAAATAAAACCAAAATAAGTAGAACTATTGGAATATTTTACTGTGAAATATAACATTAGGTATTTTAAGAAAAATAATATTTTTATTTTATACTCCAGCGTTAAAAGGACTATACTAGTATTTATGGTTGTCATAGTTACGTCATTTTCAAATGTTACACAATCAAACTTTTTTGATTGAAAGCTGCAAGGAGTAATGAAGACTTAAAATTGTATCTTCAACTTGATGGTTTTACTTATTTTAAAATGATGAGAAATGTCTCATTTGTGTCTGCGTGTTACAGATTGAAAACACCACCACGACCTCAGGGTCAAAGGACAGAACCAGAGAGCAGAGGAGTGAGTGTCTGTGCTTATAAACAACACTTTATCTGCTGCATCATTATGCTGTGATTATGAATGTGATATTCGTCATATCTGTCCGCAGGTGTTTCAGGGTTTTGGTGACACAGGGTTTCACATGTCTTTTGGAATCGGGGCTTTTCCGTTTGGTTTTTTCACCACAGTCTTTAACACCAACGATCCTTTTCAAAGACGAGGTCAGTGCTGTTGTTTGTCTTTATGAAAGTGAAAGTGAAAGTGACGTGACATGTGGCCAAGTATGGTGACCCATACTCGGAATTAGTGCTCTGCATTTACCCATCCAAAGTGCACACACACAGCAGTGAACACACACGCACACACCCGGAGCAGTGGGCAGCCATTTATGCTGCGGCGCCCGGGGAGCAGTTGGGGGTTCGATGCCTTGCTCAAGGGCACCTCAGTCGTGGTATTGAAGGTGGGAGAGAGCGCTGTACATTCACTCCCCCCACCTACAATCCCTGCCGGTACGAGACTCGAACCCGCAACCTTTGGGTTATGAGTCCGACTCTCTAACCATTAGGCCACGACTTCCCCATGAGATGCTCACTATTAATATTTCATTATTCAAATGCTCAAGCGTTAAGATCATGTCAGGTCTTATGAATGTTCGTTTTTAAAGCCGTGACTTGATCTCATCAGATCCTCATTACGGAGGAGATCATCAAGCCGACGGCAACCCCAACAACGGCAACAACTGGCAGGACTCGCTCTTCCTCTTCCTGGCCATCATCTTCTTCTTCTGGATGCTGAGCGTGTGACGCCTGCGATTGAAGCGACAAGATCAGCTGTCTGTGTCTCATATACACACACACTCACATACACACATCAGTGTTGAGAGAGACAGTATTAATGATTAAACACTACAGGCACTACAGGAGCAGCTCGCAAAACACAGCATATTTCACCTCAAAATCAATACAAACGCAATGAGAAATTAGAGAAATTATTGGTTTTTGTTTTTTTTCGACCCTGAAACTATTCTCAATGGACCTGCATTCTAAAATTATTTTCAGGATGATTAAACGCATTTAATGTCAAATTCTCATTGCTTTAATGAAGTGTCGTAACTAATTAATTGTCATGAAAAGAATGTCACATGCAATGAATGCATACAATTTGAATAGTTATAAAAATAGCCATAAAATTAAGAAATGGAATGAAAAAATTACTATAAATGAAACTGAAAATTGTTTGAAACTGAAATGGAAACTTCTTTCTGGAATTATTTTCTTGACATTTAAACGTATTTATTCCCAAAATTCTTATTTCCGTAAGTTGAGATGTCTCTCTTATTACTATGCCATACATTTTTGTTGTATTACAGTAATAGTAATTGTGAGGAGGAAATGTTTAAGTATTTAAGTCATGGTAAAAAATATCACAATATATTAATAATGTATTTTCTTTTTTGGGGTGAAATATTACCTAGACAGGTTTCATAAGACAGGTTTCATGAGATTCACCAAATTTTATGCTCACAAATTTCTGTGGCTTTTCATTTTCATGCCAAAGAATTTCTGAAATGAGAGACATGAAGACAGATGTGATTTATGTAGGATTTATTTCATTACTCCTGAAAGTGTTTTAAGGCTGTGTCACTGCGTTTGGACGATCTTCACTGCACACGATGAGGGACGTTTCACTTATTCAGATCCTTAAATCTGCCTGAGGAATTAAAACACAAGTCAATATCATACTTGTGTAATAAAAGGGTGAATCTCATGAATCATGTCCTGGTCACATTTTATTCCAAAATCAAAAGAAAAAATTCTTAAGCTTATTATTCTTATTTTAGGACCTTTGCAATTTTAAAGCACAATAATAATCATATATATATATATATATATATATATAAAAAAAGCAGCGGGCCAAATCAGCTGCTGATGGCCAGTCCGCGCCTGATTTCCACCAGAGACAAGCAGAACGTGAA